AAAATGAGAACCAGGAAAAGGGAAGAGAGAAAAAGCTGAAAACTAGAACCTGGGAAGGGAAGAACAAAGAATAATAACACAAAGGACAAAAATAATAATTTTAAAACAGACAAAACAAACAAACTGAAAAAAAAAAGGCGGGGGGGGATTTGGTCAGGATGGGGCAGGGTACCCAGGCTCTGTCGGAGCATACAGACTAGGATGGAATTCCTGCCAGCCCAGAAGGTGGGTAGGAGTGAGGGATGGCCACACCTCCGTTCACCAAGAGGGTGTGGGGGATAAGAGTAATAAGGGGAATATCAACACCTTTCCAGTTGTTGGTGCCTGGAATGCCCTTGTGGTTCCCAGCAAGTAGAGCCTATTCTTAAGTCCCTGGAATCTGGGAGAACACTGTTGCTTTAAATATCAAAAATGGTTGAACTACTTGTAAACATTCAAAATGGCCGTGTCCTTCAGACAGGCAAAGTCCACAGCTCAGCCCATCTTCCTCTTCATTGCTTCCCCTTTTATTCACCAGGCACCACTGCAGTCCTCCGTGCAGTCCCTGGCTAGCAGGGCCTATTTTTGGTTAATTCTTAGGTTCTAACACCACTTGGCAATATATAAACTGTCTGTCCCGTCAGGATTGCTCACAGACCAGAATTCCGTATGTCTCCTTTTTTGGTGTTTTCTTGCAAGTTCTTCTACTAGTTGGAGTTTAGTCTACTTCTATAGCCTTCCCTTCAAAGCTCAGGGCACCAGGATTATCTTCTGTATCTGTGTTAATTGGTTCCCATTTTCTTTGTTGATGAGGGTCTGTGCAGTCTGTCCGCCTATTCCACCAGCTTACCAGAACTCCCCCTGACATGCTAGACTATATGAAGAACACGAGCTTCAGGACTGCAGGAAGACTCATTAACAACCTGCTATAAGCAGATGACACAACCTTAGTTGCTGAAAGTGAAGATGACTTGAAGCACTCATTGATGAAGATCAAAGACTACAGCCTTCAGTACAGATTACACCTCAACATAAAAGAAAAGTCCTTTCAACTGGACCACTAAGCAACATCATGATAAATGAAGAAAAGACTGAAGTTGTCAAGAACTTCATTTTACTTGGATCCACAATCAATGGCTACGGAAGTAGCAATCAAGAAATCAAACAATCTTGGATACTGTAGGAGAAAAATATGGCACAAGACTCAAAATCATAAAAAAAGATCAAACCACTGGTCTGATAAGAGACTTACTCCTGAGAGTAAAGCCTTTAGCCACCCTTCAATCCTGGAACTGAACTTACCCCTGTAGATCAACTTTCAATTAAACAACAGACTGGCTTCTAAAGTGAACAAGACCAGGGAGAAACACACTCCTTAGAAAAATCAACCACTCAAGACCAAAAGAATAGCATTTGCCACGCAAGACCAAAAGAATAGCATTTGCCCATAAACAAAGCTCAGAAGGCAGGAAGGGGAAGGAAAGATGGGAGACTGGAAATGGAGAACACATAGAAGAAGTGGAAGATTATATTGTAGGGATTGCAATAAATGTCACAAAACAAAATGTATATAAATTGCTGAAGGGAAAACTAATTTGCTCTGAAAACTTTCACTCAAACCACAAAGCATTTTCAAAATTATTGTCATGGAGATATTTCATTAATTTCTCTTTAAAGCTTTTATATTAACCAAAGTTATCCTCACAACTGGACCAATAAGCAATATAATGATAAATGGAGAAAACATTGACGCTGTCAGGGATTTCATTTTACCATAATCAACACTCATGGAAGCAGCAGTCAAGAAGTCAAATGTCTTATTACTACACTGGGCAAAAGACCTCTTTAAAGTGTTAAGGAACATAAATGTCTCTTTAAAGTCTAAAGTACACTTGACCCAACCCATGGTATTTTTCAATCATGTGCATGTGAAAGCTGGACAATGAATAAGAAGGAAGACTGAAGAACTGATGGCTTTGAACTGTCAGGCTGGCGAAGAATATTGAAAATACCATGGACTGCCAGAAGAACTAACAAATCTGTTCTGGAAGAAGCATGGCCGAATGTTCCTTAGAAGCTAGAATGGCCAGAGTTCATTTCACCTACTTTGGTCATGTTATCAGAAGGGACAAGTCTCTGGAGAATGTATCATGCTTGATAAAGCAGAAGGTCAGCAAAAAAGGGGAAGACTCTCAATGAGATGGATTGACACAGTGGCTACAATGATGGGCCGAGCACAGCAAAGATTACAAGGATGGCGCAGAACTGGGCAGTGTTCTGTTCTGTTATACATAGGGTTGCTATGAGTCAGATCTGATTCGGTGCACATAACAACAACAATAAAAAGTTAAAAAGAAAAAAAAAGAAGAAGAAGAAATCAAAAGACTTATTGCATTTGGCAAATCTGCTGCACAAGATCCCTTTAAAGTATTAAAAAGCAAAGATGCTACTTTAAGGACTAGGGTGTACCTGACTAAAACGATGGTATTTTCAATTACCTCATATACATGCAATAACTAGACAATGAATAAGGAAGACTGAAGAAGAATCGATGCCTCTGAATTATGGTGTTGGCAAAGAATATAGGATATATCATGGTCCGCAGAACAATGAAGAAATTTATCCTGGAAGAAGTATAGGCAGAATGCTCCTTAGGAGCGAGGATGGTGAGACTTCATCTCACATACTTTGGACATTTTATCAGGAGGGACCAGTCCCTGAGGAAGGGCATTATGTTTGTTAAAGGCAGAGAGTCAGCAAAAAAGAGGAAGACTTTCAATGAGATAGACTAACACACTGGCTGCAACAATGGGCTCAACGACTGGTTGGATGACACAAGACCAGGCAATGTTTCATTCTATTGAATACAGGACTGCTATGCATCAGAAGCGACCTGATGTAACCTAACAACAATAATGGAAGACGACCACTGAACATGCTTGGGGCATCTGTGATAGGACCTATGCACAACTCCAAGTGACCATGAGGTCTGCCATGTGATGTCTCTTAAAATGGGGCTTCCCAGATGGCAATGGGATACTCCACTAGGAGTCAGAATAGTAATGCCCTTCCTTTACGGATATGCCTCATGGTTGGGGGTGGCTTATCCTGAACCTCCCAGAAGGATGTTCAAAAACTGTTATTTCTTTTAGATTCTCATTTTCCCCCAAGAAGGTATTTCATTTTGTTTTTCAATCTAGTGTGTAGCCAGGTTTAGAGAGGGCTCATGATGAAGACCCATTGCTGTCGAGTGAATTCCAACTCATAGCAACCCTACAGGACAGAACAGAACTGTTCCATAGAGTTTCAAGAGGAGTCCTGGTGGCTCAGCAGTTAAAGGGTTCAGTGAGTGTCAAGAGGTTGGATGTTCAAATTCACCATCCACTCCGTGGAAGAAAGATACGGCAGTTGGCTTTCTTAAAGATCACACCCTTGGAAACTCTCTAGAGCTGTTCTGCTGTATCCTATAGGGTTGCTATGAGTCGGTATTGCTTCAACAGCAGTAGGTTTGGTTTTTGGGTATAGGGTTTCCAAGGCTGTAATCTTTACAGAAGCAGGTTTCCACATCTTTCTTTCCAATCTGTGGAACGATTAGTAGGTTTAAACTGCTGACTTTTCCAAGGCTGTAATCTTTACAGAAGCAGGTTTCCACATCTTTCTTTCTAATCTGTGGAACGATTAGTAGGTTTAAACTGCTGACTTCTTAGTAGTCAAATACCTAAGCACTGTACCACCAGGGTGTCTCAGAGTTCATGATAAGAGGTTAAGAATGCTGGAATGCGCTTACTGGTCTGATAGAGCCTAGTGAAACCCCCAAGACCATGGTCCCTACTCAGCTTTCAGGTCTGGAATTGAACTCACTCCTGTGGCTTCCAGCCAAACAGTAGACAAGCATATATATAGGATGAACATTTACATCAAGTAGATACATTCCTTAGAACATTCAATCATGAGAGAACAGAAGGGCAATATTTGCACAGGGAGATAGCTCGGGGGGCAGGAACGCATAGGAAAGGATACAGTGAAGAGTTAACTACATAAGTGGGAAAAGAGCTGTTCCATGGTGGGGACTACAGTTAATGTCAGGACACAAAATGTGAATGAACTGCAGTATGGAAAATAAATTTGCTCTGTAAAGTTTCACTCAAATCACAATCAAAAAAAGAAAAAAGAATGCTGGAGTGATGGGTCCGTTGGATGCTTTGATCTGTACACTGTGACAGTGGTCACTGTGTATCATAATACTCTGAATATCTTTTCAGTGCAAATGTGATACATGCTCATGGATTTCAGTTATTATATATAACTGAAGGCATTGTCAGACAATAACTGTTCCCTAGCAAAATGCTTTCCTTTTTGTACTATAAGGATACACGCTTGTCTGTTTCCCCCTCTCTTTTTAGCAAAACACAGTAGAAAATAGGAAGGAAGAAGTATTCTGTCTTCGGATATGTTTGACTTCTTGAGTTTCCTGGCTGTACCTGACTGCCATATATCTTCCTAATAAAAGAATCATTAAGGAGAGAGAGAGAGAGAGAGACTTAAGACACTTATCAACCAATTGCAAAATATAGGATCCAATTCAGAAAAAACAAGCTATAAAAAAATATTAGACAACTGTGAAAATCTGAACACTGATCAAATATTTACTGCTAAACTTTTGGTATGATAATAATGTGGTTATGGGTATAAAGTCACTTTCTTTTAGAGGTATATAATATTTAAAGATTTAAAAACTTAAGAGAGAAAAATAGCATATATAAAAGACAAGCAACGAAGAGTAAAAAAATGCATATCTGCAACCCCCAAAGAAGAAAATAAAGAGCAAGTAAAAATGAACAGAACAAAAGTTTACATATAAGTCCTAAAAACTTTCCTGAAATAAAAGATTTCAATCTACATACTGTAAGGGCACATCGCATTCAAGGAAAAATTGACCAAGATTGGCTAACCTTGAGAATATCTTAGTAAAATTACTAGACTTTAAATCTTTGGGCAGCCAAACAAAATGATCACATTACCTGAATGAGAGAAAAATCAGGCTGCTTATTGACTTTTCCACAGCAACATTCAATGACAGAAAGTATTGGAGAAAGACATTTGGAAAGACTGAATCAAGAAATTTCAAGTATAAAGGCCACAATTTTGACCAGGTTAGAATACAAGGAATATTGTTCACAAGAGCCCTTTTTAAGGAATCTACTAAAGCACAGATCCAAGACAAAACAAAAGATGGACACAAAAGTGAAAAAAATAAAATGTAGAAATGATACAAGTTATAAAAACGGGAGGAAAAATGGTCAAGTGGGGGGGGAGTAAAATAAGCTCTCCATCTAATCTGTCATTGCTGGGGGTTCAGAGGTGGCAAATCACGTAGTAGAAGTTTAAGTATATTTAAGAGTGAATATTTAAAAAAGATAATACTATTAATGTTGGTTAGTAAGGGAGTTGTTGTTGTTGTTGTTATGTGCCATCGAGTCGGTCCGACTCATAGTGACCCCTCCTTGGGTTTCCGAGGCAGTATCACTACGGAAGTAGGATTTCCCAACCTTCCTTCCGAGGAGTGGCTGGTGGGTTTGAACCGTCAGCTTTCTGGTTAGCAGGCAGGTGACTTAGCCATTATGCTATCAGAGCTCCCAAGGGAGTTGTTGGGTAGAGAAAAAAGATAGTAGTATGTTACGTTATAAACTTACTGCCGTAAGTCGGATCTGACTCATAGTGACCCCACCTTGGGTTTCCAAGGCAATATCTCTAAGAAGTAGATTGTCCAACCTTTCTTCCAAGGAGTGGCTCGTGGGTTTGAACCGCCAGCCTTCTCATTAGCAGTCAAATGCCTTAGGCACTACGCCACCAGAGCTCCCAAGTTATAGTATAGATTACCTATAAAAAAGCAGGGAGACTAAGGGGACTTTATAAATCAGTTCTGGTGGTGCAGTGGCTAAGGCATAGACTGCTAACCAGAAGGCTGGTGGTTTAAACCACCAGCTGCTCTGTGGAAGGAAAATGGGGCAATCAACTTCTGTAAAGATTAATCACCTCAGAAACCCAACGGGGGTCGCTATGAGTCAAAATCAAAGGCAGTGAGTTTGAGTTTTTATTTTTTTTAAAGGATATTTTACAGAGCAATAATTATAACAGAATAAAGATATAATATTTTCTAAGTATCAGAACTACTATTGTTGTTGTTACGTGCCATCGAGTCAGACCTGACTCATAGCGACCCCTCCTTGGGTTTCCAAGGCAGTCTCACTAAGGACGTAGATTGCCCAACCTTCCTACCGAGGAGTGGTGGTTCAAACCCACCAGCCAACTACTATTAGAAAAGGAAAAAAAAAGCAAAAACAAATAGATGAATGTAAGCTATGCAGATTTCTACTATTACAATAGATTCAGTAACTTTGGCCTTTAACATGGACACCTTTTCAAAAGTGGCAGGAAATATAACTGGTCTTGGCAGAAGAAAACATATCCTTTCTAAATATTTAAGTGATTGCTGATTTGCCAAGTTCTCAAATCCAGGGTACAGGAGTATTTCCAAATAATTAGAAATAAATCAGATGGATGGCAATATAAATAGCCACTAAAAGCTTTTATTAAAGAGTTCAATTACCACTTCGTTAAAAGCAAGTTTGAGTATCTTCTATTTACAAATGGAGCTGCCATTAAACTCTAGTAGCCAAATTCCTGAACTATAAAATTTAATAAAAAACCTCCAGTGTTTCAGAACTACAGGACATCAACATTTCACTTCTATATATTCTCTTCCTTAAGGCTGAGATTTCATTGTTAGAAGCACTGTCAGTCTGTATGTGAGTAAAAAGTCAACACGTATACAGCCTGTCTTCTGTATTTCTGACACCAACCAAAGTATAACCATCTTTTTCCCACCAAAATGTGAGCTTCAGGAAGACAGAGACTTTGGTTCACTACTATATCTCAGTACCTAGAAAGCTCTGAGACATAGATTAAAACAGTTTTCTGCAACGTTTTAATAAATAGTAAATATTTAAGTTCTGGTTTCCTCATTCCATACGATGAGTTTCCTGACAAAATTTCCCAGGGCTCTCAGATTTGAAGCTGACAACTTGCAACAATCAGGGCTCATTCTATACCCAGAATCTCCCAACATGAACGTTTTCACCCACTGTTTGATGCAACATTCTCTTGTTGGACATAAGGTCTATCGATGTCTCAGGATCAAGCTGGGGACTCAGATGTCTTACCTGTTCTTATTAAACTGGATGGCAAAGTCTGTCATGTGCTGCAAAGCTTTGTTGGTGAAGTTCATTTCCATATAGATGTGCCCTTGGCGGTGAGTGAACGTTCCTGAAATCTCTAAGCCTTTAGCTTTCACTGCAGGTAGCCAGACCTGAAACACAGTATAAAGCTCAATGGAACAAAGAGAAATTTTGTCTCAGTGATATTTGCTTTTTAATTAAAAAAAGACAAAATTAAGATTTTTATTTCCTTAGGCAATTATGGTTATTTTTATACCATAAACACCAAGTAAAATAAAAAAGGCTCTAGATAAAGTAATATTTTTAAAATTTTGAAATGATTTTCAATTACTTACGAACCAAAAAGGAAAAAAAAAAATCTATAGGTAACCCTGGTTTCTTCTGCATCTTCCGTCAAGTTGGTAATTTTACTACTTTTGAATACTGCTACCAAACATGCATATACACAAGGAAAGAAAGGAATTCCTATGAGTATATTTTTCTGTTAGTAGTTTTAGTAAAAGGTTTACATGGGAAAATTTAATCTACTAACAAAAATACCATGTTTGTAATCTTTGAAGACTTTTTCATCATTAGTAAAACTATTGTCAGTAAGCCAAGGACCACGACTTATATATATTTTAACTCCTGCTGTAGTATCTGGTGAATAGTAAGCATTCAGATGTTGCTTAAATAATCTGAATGCCAGTTTTCTCAATGTAATTCATTTATTATCCTCTACTGGCCCCAGAACCTGTACTACTTCTGGTCTTCCACAGTTAAAAAAAAAAAAAAAAAAAGTCAGAAAACTCATGAGCTATTTTGACTACTATGACAAACAATGAAAACTCTGTGGGTGACATATAAACTATGTTTAGCCTCACTAAAAAAAAAGTATACATATATATATATCTCAAGTCAAAAACAACCCACAAGATACCCTTTTCATCTATTAGAGAATCAAAAATTTCAAAAACTCAATACCCAATGTTGGAGGGAGTATGAAGAACCTGGCACTATTATATTCTGTTGGTGGGAATGTAATTTGTGGCTATCTTTCTCAAGGGCAAATTGGTAATGTTTATTTTTAAATATTAAAATGATCAAGCAAATTGCCTATGGAGGAGATCCTGGATAGAAAGGGAGAACAATGTGGAATAAAACTCAAAATCATTTGGAAAAAAAACAAAACAAGCTCTACTTAACTGAGACTCACGTGGCAGCCTTTTCCTTGCTAATGTATACTGGAAGAACTTTAGAGATAATACACTGCACAGTAAATTTCAAAACACAGCTACTGAGTTGTGCCAAAGAACTATGACTTAGTTTTGAATCTTATTTTTAGTTACTCTATGCAATAGGCTGTGTATATAGTTATGACTACTAGAATGGACAACTGGTCTACATCTCTATAGCAGAGATCCCTCATAAGGAATCAGATGAGCAGGTGAAGAATTCAAACAAGGCATGCTGATTCTCAGAAAGGCAAAACTGCATGAAGCTTAGCAAAGGAGCTAATATGGGTGGTATTATTCCCAAGGCTTTAAATGAACATCATGTACAGAAAAGAGGGTTTTTTTAACTTTAGTCTGA